GCCCACCAATTAAGTGTTACATGGGCTTGGCCCGATTTATCAACTAACATTGACGCTAATGGGCCAGCCAGCCCGATATGTAAATAAATAATCTCGGACCAATATCCGCTAGCCGGGATGTGCTCTAAGCTTGGTCGGGCCAAAGCATGGGCGTAACGGGCCAATAGTCTTGGACCTGGCCCATTATCCCAACACCATGCATGATTACTATAATGCCCAAATAATAAATGATTAAACGTTTTGTGGATTTAGAGAAATCAATGGCTAGTATGTGTTCTCATTTCTTATGTGTAGCAATGTTCTTATTTGAACTAAAAGCTATATATATACATAGTGGTCTTCATGTTAGGCCTTACGGGAACCGCCGTTCGTCCGAGTCTGTTTTAGACCATTCCCGGTGGAATTTTTTTGATGAACTTTTTTGAGCATGTTCCTCATCAAATCAAGTTTACGCATACCAAGTTTCAGCTAAAAATTTAACCGGGAAGACAATCACCTAATAATACTTTTGGCACTATTTCTATATATTAACTGCGAAATGTTCTTAAATAATTTATTTGACTGTCTTTCCGATTGAATTTTTAGCTGAAACTTGGTATGCGTAAACTAGACTTGATGAAGAATATGAAAACATTTCATCAAAAACTTCCACCGGAAAGACCCCAAACGGGCTCGGTCTGATGCATATCCCGATTAGGCCGGCCTGACATGAAGATTCATCTTTATACTCCATATATATTACCACTACCTCTTTCTAGTTCAAAGATTCCAAACCATTATTCACATTATCAGTTTAATTCATTTCTAATCTTTAGCTTTATATATCAATTTGAAAAAAAATGACAAGAATAATCCCACCATTCACCGGTCTTTTCATAATAATCTCACCTTTACATAATCCCAGAATAATCCCACCTAAGCACCCCATCTTCTTTCATTGGACTCTGACCTGTTGATGACCTAATATACCAGTTTTTTACACTTCCTTTGAAAATCATATAAATAATCTCACCTTTCACTTTTTTGTTATATCTTTATAAAGGTGAAATTATTTATATAAGATTTTCAAAGAAAGGGTAAAAAACCTGTATAGTGGGTCATGGTCTAATGAAAGAAGATTAGGTGCAAAGGTAAGATTATTCTAGGATTATGTAAAGATGAGATTATTATGAGAAGATTAGTGAAAGGTGGGATTATTCTTGTCAATTTTTCCTATCAAATTTTTATCAAACTTAAATTCTCTTGATTAGACTTTTTAAATTTTTAATGTAGTTTCTAAATATATAATTTTATTTATTAAAAATAATCAGTATGTGAACATGCATGATTAAGTTGCTTTATCGTCAATCATGCATCATAAACCGAATCTAGAACTCTCTCTGAGGGATAGGGGTGAGCAAAAATACCGAACCGGTATGGTACCAAACCGGACCGATATGGTACCGGACCGAATAACGGGTTTCGAAATAATTCTCAAATTTTTTGTCCCGGACCGGACCGTACCGGTTCCAAGCCATGTCATGACCGATACTCATAAAATGAGAATAGGTACCGGACCGAACCAGACCGAATTATGATTTATATAATTAATAATTTATAATTATTGTACATGTATACCATTTGATTACTCCTTCCAATTTACTTTTTGTACTTCTATAGTTTAAGTGAGAATCAAATTGAAATTCTTTTGCCATACATTAAGTATGAAGGCACTTTACTTGTTAAATAGTTAATACCATTAATTTTTTTATGTGTTCATTTTTAAAACTTTGTTATGCAAGTATATCCCAGAGACCCGATGTGTATGAGTGAGAAGCCAATGGTTCTTCTAGAGTCGTGGTTGTGAACGTTTTGTGATATATGTTTTGTATTACTATAGTTTATTTGAAATTTATTAATTATGTAATATGAAAATTGATAAATTGTGTGGATTTTTGGATAATGACTAAACTTTATTTTTTCGAAAAAGTGACATTGTTTGATATTGATATGACATGATACCGTACTGTTTGAAATTGGAACCGTACCGAGCAGGTTTAGGTCGAAGACCGAACCGAACCGAACGTTTCAATACTAACGGTCCGGGTACGGGTTCAGTAAAATATTAGACCGGACCGGACCGCACCCACCCCTACTAAGGGACTAAGGGAGTACTACTTAAGTAAGTTTCGAATATTTGGGTCACTCATCTTCAAGTCCTGTTTTGAATCGGTGCACCTAAGCCTTGTACATCCAGCCAATTCGCCACCATAATAAACCTTGATTATCCGCCGACGATGGGCAGTACTAAAAACCATGGAGATTTCTCTGGAGCACAGCTTTCACTTCTTTCTCAAGACATTCTTTTCCAGATCCTGGTTCTACTTGGCGTCAAATCTCTAGGTCAACTGAAATGCGTTTCTAAATTTTTCCTTTCCATATTAACCGATCCAAATTTTGTCGAGTTTTACGGGAATCGGTTCGCGGCTCTTACCAATGGCACAACCATTGTCTTCTCCGTTCGATTTGTGACTGAATGTCATCACTCGAGCTACTGTCCCGTGTCAAAGCAGTTTTACACCATAAATTATGAAGAAAATCAGCGGGGAAAGCTCGTTCATGCAAAATTTGTTAGACATTTGGACAAATGGCTCAAATACAGAGGATTTGTGTCTTTTGCTCAAGTTCTAATGTGTTACTACTGTTGGAAAAATGTGTGGAAAATTGCATTAAATGGCTATTTTGGGGCAATTTTTTGAGTGGGGTCCACTTCCGATTTGGGTCGGGTCAAAGTGGTTTCGGATTGTCCTTGTTAAGGGCTACAATTCGATATATGGTACGCTCAAAACGGATAACGGGTGAATGAGAAATCGCTTTTCGAAGTTTACCCGTTAGAAGGGAAAAAGGATGGGTTTCTAGTGTGTTAATTTCCCACACCGGAAAACCCAAGGGATTTGCTACCCTTTATAAAGGGACTCCCCCCTTATGGAGTTAAGATTCTTAAGGGTAAAGGCTCTCTCCACGCGCGCAGGGGGGGGGGGGGGTGCAAATCAAATCCTGAAATCGGAGAAGAAAAACCGCGACTTGCGTGCGCGGGCGACCTGCGGACACGAATGTCGTCCAAAAATCTATCTCTCAAGAGATACGATTAATTTTTGTTTTCTTCCCGAAACGTTTAATTTTTTCCCAGCGGCAGAAGTGCTCGGATCAGAACACCTCGATGGTCTTCTGATGGCAGAACCCCTCTCGTTGGTATTCTGATGGCCACCCATCAGAGTTGGGGGTACTCTGATGGCCGCCCATCAGAGTTGGGGGTACTCTGATGGCCGCGGATCAGAGTTGGCCTCCGATCAGAACCCCTCCCGGGGAGTTCTGATGGAGGTCTTCTCTCGCACTTCTGAAACGTTACAACAATTAATGCCCAACGTTCTTATCTTTTAATGCAGCGTTAAATGGACAGTTCATGGACGATTCAATGCCCAACGGACTGGTCATTGATGTCCAACGTTCAGGTCCATTAATTCACTATTTTCATACAACAAATCCTCCTATATAATGGCTGGCAGGTGGTTTGCAACAACACACGTTCTTACACGAATTCTACACGTTTTGCACCTCTAAAAACACACTGCTAGCATTCCGAAAATTCCTTCGGTGTTCAGTCTTTGTTCTCGTTCGCTGGAACTTTTGTTTGAGTGCTCAAACACTAGTTCGTTGTCATCGTATCCTGGGAAACTATTGTTGCAACGCTCCTAGCACCGTGGGAGGCAACAAATACGTTTTAAGGACATCGTGCGTAGCACGAGCTTTGACAAATTCTGCTCCATCTCTTTTCTTGTTTTTCTTTCGTCATTTTAATTAATTAATTTATTTTAATTAATTTTCTTTATTTTCCGAAACACACCCAACAACTACAACAACGATTTCGATTTCAATTTTAGGGTTTTGAATATTGTCACAGGACAACATACTATCCTCCCTATTCCCCCGCAAACAATTCCTTCCCGCGGGAATCCTTGTGCGATCTTGGGGTTCGATGGTGTTTTGGAAACATACAAGGTTTTTGTGGTAGAGGCCAAGACCTTGACATTGAAGTACTGGGTGTTCACACTAGGGGTGGATGAAGCGTGGCGAGAGATTAACAGCTCTGTATTGCTTTGCAGTGAAAGGCTTTTCATGAATAATGTTTGCATTAATGGCATTATCTATTCTTACAATGACCTGTTTTGTGATTCAGACGAAGATGGAGGCTCCAGACTGGTGGCATTAGATGTTAGGTCCGAGAGTTTCCACCGGATACCTCTTCCTCCGTTAGCATTTCAGGAAATCCGTGAATCCTCTTTGTTAGGATTGGACGGGCGGCTCGCTGTCATTCACGTCCATCAGTATAGTCAGATTATTACTTGGAGCTTGGAGACTTAGAGCTGTCAAACGGGCCAACCCGCCCCGACCCGCCCCGACCCGCGGCGGGTTATGAGTTTCACGGGTCGGGGCGGGCCAACCCGCTTACTATCGGGCCAGAATTTTTATGACCCTAACCCGACCCACCTAACCCACGGGTTATGTGGGCCAACCCGCGGGCCATAAATGTCAAAACAAAAAAAATTAAATATCTAAATTAAAATCCAAACACAATTGTAATAGCAATTAAATATCTAAATTAAAATCCAAACACAATTAAAAAGGAAAAAATTAGTGCTTGAAAATCCTTTGGTTGTATGTTTGAATGTATCATCGGGGGTAAGTGGTATACTTAAAAAGTTAAAAGATGAAATACTTACAAGCTTTAATGTATTATTGTGGGTATACTTAAGCTGAAATATCGCAAATACCTAATTTCTCATTTATTTAGCCTGATTTGGATATCATGAATAAAACAGCATAGAAGTCCTTATGTTATAAAACAATATAGCAATGAATACATTAAAAATACATTTATTTAGTCTAATTTGGATATCATGAACAAAATACATTAGTATTAGAAGTGAGGAAAGAACTAGAAGTAAAGAGAGAGTATAATAGAAGATATAATTGTCTTATATAGAAATAATATAATTAAAAATACATAGAATAAATTATATTTGTCCTCAGCCCGCGGGTTGGCCCGCAACCCGTACGGGTTGGCCCGCTAAACCCGCAACCCGTTAGGGTTGACCCACTGAGCCCGCAAAACAATCGGGCCTGAAAATGATAACCCTAACCCACTTATAAGTGGGTTGAAACGGGCCAACCCGCGGGTTTCGGCCCGTTTTGACGGCTCTATGGAGACTGTTGCGGAATCCTCATCTTGCTGGAAGAAGCATGCTTTCCCCCTTCCATTGGGGGTAGACGTTTTATCAATTTGGAATACCTCAATTACTGTTACTCCGGCCGGGGAAATTGTACTGCTAACACTGAAGAGAACACCTTCTCTTTGGGTTTTATTGGATAAGTTTGGGGCATACCCTGTTTGGAAGGAATTCAGAATTGCTGGACTTGCTGACTTGCCCCCCAACCGTGTTTGTGAATCAATTGAAACTGTTGAGGTGCAAAACATTGCTGAGAATCTCTTTCACTTAGAATAATCTGGCCGGCAGGACTTCTTGAACAAACGCCATGCTGGTCCTCTCCTCCAGCTTATCATTTCATTTCATCATTATCGTCAGTTAGACTGTTAGAGTCTTACCATTGCCTCAATTTTTCCCTTACTTTTTTACTTTCTTCTACTTAGCTACTTAGTCAGATAGAGTATTTATTAAGTCTTGAAGTATAGTCCACGTACCTATTCTTTTAGGGATTTTATTGGAATTAATTACAAATTGGTTGGTTTCTTATGTTAGTGTGACTATTAGCTTGGTGCATTGTCACTCTGTACCGGTGGGTGATACTTAAATCTTTTAAGTAAATAAATGTTACATTGAGTAATACAACTAATTAAGCAAGAAACTCTTTGCTTGTGTATCTCTTTAATTTTTTGAACTGCATTTGTATATCCAAGTATCTTGTGGTCTCATGACATGTGACACTCCCAAGGAGAAGGTCACAGGTTCGAATATCATCTCAGTTCAAGGATGTTGGGATTAATATTGAGCAGATACTATATAGGTTAGAATGAATTGTTCCAAAACAAAACTGCATTTGTATATACTGCAAAACATACAATGATGTCATTTGATTTAAGCTTAACTAAAATAACACGAATGAGCAATACCTATGATTCTGGTTTCAATATTTTTTCATAATATAAATCTTATGTACTCAAATGTAACTCGCTTTGTTACAAATGTAATCTCAGTTAAAGACAACTGTAACTCGTGCACTAGAATGTAACTCTTGGTAATCCATCAAATTCCCTTTTCATATACTAGTATGAAATATAAAGCACGTTTATGCAAATTTTAAATTCAGGCAAGTCGAAATGAAAACCACGTTAATTGAAATGCAACTTCAGGCAAATCAAAATGTAAGTGGCGTTAACGAAAAGGTAACTTGATGTAAGTTAAAATGTAAATGACGTCAATGGAAATGTAATCTGAGGCTAATCAAAATGTAAATCACGTTAGATGTAAATATAAGTTGAGTGAAGTCGAATTGTAACAACTTGAATAAATGATGTGAGTTTTATTTTATATTAATAAAACTTCAGTTTTGAATTGATGGAGGGAGAAAAATCCTAGGTTTATTTTGAAGATAAAGAGAAAAGAAATTGCGTTTAGAATTTAATGTATTGATGAAGGAGATCAGAAGAAGATAAGTGAAGAAGTAAAGAAAAAAATAGAATTTTTGAAGGTCAAGATAAATGAAAATTTAGTTTGATTCTTAATATTTTGATGAAGCAGGTGAAAATATATAATTGAAGAATAAAAGAGGGAAAAAAGTTATGGAAAGAGATGACAAGGGAGATTGACAAAGAAGAAGAAGAATAGATAACTGAAGAAGGAAGCATGTCTCTCTTTTAAACTAAAGATACGATATTGTAATGGGATATTGTAATGGGATCTGTATATTATGCACGCTTCATAACGATTCCAAGGTATAATTTGATATATATACATCCTCTGTCCTTCATTATTTCTTCAATTTTCTCGTCATTGTTCTACTAGTTTTGTTACTTTACCCTTTAAATAGAGAATTAATTTTGTTGTTAATTCTCTCTCCTCCACACAAACCTCTATCATACAGTTTTTACTTCATCATTTTACGTGTGAGTCAACTTTTATAAAATTACTAGGGCAGGGGAAGTGTTACTTTCCTTTGAAGAATTTTTTTATTGTTATGAGTTCTAGTCTTTTAGACATCAATGTTGTGCCTTTTTTGAATATAAATATGTAATTTATTATTTAAGTGAACCATTAGGTACATTAGCAAAATTCAAAGGAGGTGTACATTAGCAAATTATAAGATTAGATAAAGAACATTAGCAAGCATATGAGCTATTTGATTTGGAACCGTCCAAACTGTGATTCCTTAATTTTCGCCTTAGGTATGATCATGAATATAATATCATCAATAATATGATTGAAATAAGAACAACCAAGCGCATCCCTTAACGCCATATCCTTTTTTTGATATATTTCATAATTAATTGCGTAAACTTCGTGAAATTTAAACTATTTTATTAATAGAATAAATGAATATAATTTCAGTCAGAAAATTAAACCAACTTCATTGATTTGTATTATCACACAATTCAACGAGAGATATAAATACAATCATGCTTCGTGTACACAACAAACTATACACATAATTTTACATGTCAGTCAAATTGTCTGTATACGAACAATATGAATTATGATCGACATTTTGTGAAGAGAACCATTTTTCGCACAAAACGAAAAAAATTGTCGTGTGTACAACTTGATAAAGTTTGGAGTGTTTGGGTGAAAGTGCGCAAGTGATTCTGATGCTCTATTTACTCCTAGAATCAGTTTTTTTAAAAGATGAGGGAGACCAGCTTTTAAAAACTAATTCTCATTTTGCTTCTAGTTCACAAAAGAAGCAGAAGCACCATTCGTTTCAAACACCCCTATATGCGAAATCAATTCTTAGTTTTAATCCACTCTTACCGTTTTGATAAAAAGTTTAGCGACGAAGTATATGCGAAATCAAATTTCACGTGATAAGAAACATTCATACTTTCATATTACAACAAAGATTAATGATAAAAAAAAAAGATTAAACCCAGAAAAATCCCGATTATAAAACCTGGAGAATGACAAATACTCTGTAATGAGTAAACAGGCCCAGTACATCGCCGTCATAAAATCCCGATCATCAACCGTCACGGACGATGAGCAGACCTGAAAACATGGGGGGAGCTTCTTCCGAATACCGAACACATCCCTTACAGCTTTCGTTTTTTCCAGATTCTGGTTCGACTTGGCGTTAAATCCAGGGGGAAGCTAAGCTGAGTTTCTAAATCTTTTCATTCCGTATTGACCGACCCAAGTTTCCTCGAGTTTCAACGAAATCGGTCAGCGGCTCCTAACCACGGCACAACTATTCTCTTCTGTGTTTGGCATAGCTTGATGAGAGGTCCTTATAGCCTAAGAATCGAGTACAATTACATGCGAGAGCAGTTTTACACCATAAACTATGACGAAAATCAGGCGGGAGAGCTCCTTCAAGCAAAATCAGATATGCTTCTTCTTCAACAAGCATTCGGAATTGATGGTTTTTAACCTTGCCTCAGGACAACATACTACTCTCCCGAAAACTCCCAGCAGCGGATTTCCTTGGGCGCTCTTGGGTTACGACGGCGTTTCGGGAACATACAAGGTTTTGAAGGCGGTATCTGTTGATTAATCTGATCACTTTTAGTGCAGCCTTAATTAGTTTTGTTTTTCTAATAAAGACTTGGTCTTATTCTGTTTTAAAGACTTAGTCTTTTCTGCTGTTTTTATTCCTATACTTTTGCAGTAGTTGCTTAGTGGTTAGCACAATTTCAGGAGCATTTTTCTGTAGCTATCTTGATTATATATTCGAATAAAATACACCAGAAAAGCTGTGGAGTTTAGTAGCACAAAACAACTTGCTGTCAATTCAGTTTCTTGATAAATATTGTTTTGTTTCAACATTTGGTATCAGAGCCACTAACAATGGCTTCAACCGGATCAAGAACACCACCACGAACTCGTGGACGCAGCCCGTCTAGGGCACGTGCTCGCGAAGGTATGGCTCACCAAGTAGTAAGAGAGACAAGCAGTATAATCTACCCTGTTCTGACTCGTACCAACTATGTCGAGTGGTCCTTGGTAATGAGGGTCAACTTGCAAGCTCAAGGACTGTGGCGAGCAATTGAAGACGAAGATGTCAACTATAGAGAGGATAGGCAAGCTTTGGCAGCAATCTTACGGGCGGTGCCACCTGAAATGCTGGCAACTCTTGATGTGAAGGATTCTGCAAAGCAAGCATGGGATACGATCAAAACTCAACGAATGGGAGTAGATCGTGTTAGGGAGGCCAATGCACAGAAGCTTCGGATGGAATTTGAAGCGATCACGTTTAAGGATGGAGAAAACGTTGATGATTTCTCCATGAGGATTACTGGCCTCGTGAATAATATGCAACTTCTGGGGGATACGGTGGAGGAGGAACGGGTGGTGAAGAAATTCCTGCGAGTTCTGCCACCACGGTACACACAGGTAGCAATTGCGATTGAAACCTTACTTGATTTGAGCACTCTGTCCATCGAAGAGCTCACTGGAAGGTTACGATCGGCGGAGGAGCGCTATGGGACTGGTGAATCAGACACCAAGACGGGTGCTCAACTTCTTCTTACGGAAGAGGAATGGAGAGCAAGAGAAAAGGCTCGTGACAATACTGGAGGTGCATCAAGCAATAGCAAACCAAAAGGTTATGTGCAGGGAAACTCTCGTGATAAAATTCCTGGAAAAGGGAAGTGTTATAATTGTGGAATTTCAAGCCATTTTGCTAGAGAGTGTCGCAAACCAAGACGGGATTGGAAGCAAGAGGCACATCTAAGCATGTTTGACGATGATCAGCCTGCTTTGCTCATGGCAGCAACAACTAGTGTGCCTAAACAGGTGACACCCGTGCAGCAAATCAATTCGAAGATTGCCACAAATGAAGCTCAGTATGTGTATTTAAATGAAGGGCACGTCCATCCAGCTCATACAGGAAAAGACGTATGGTATTTTGACACTGGAGCGAGCAATCACATGTCAGGTTGTCGCGAGATGTTCATGGTGCTAGACGAAGAAGTGAAAGGGTCTGTCAAGCTTGGTGATGGCTCGGTTGTAGAAATTCGTGGTCGTGGCTCTGTGATGTTTCTGTGTAAAACCAAGGAACATAAGGTGCTCACTGATGTGTACTTTATGCCAGGATTGCGTAGCAACATCATCAGTATTGGGCAACTCGATGAGAACGGGTGCAAGACAGTGATTGAAAATGGAACGCTATGCCTGCATGACAAAAAAGGAGTATTGTTAGCACAAGTTCCCCGATCTAAGAATAGGTTGTATACCTTAATCTTAGAATTGGCTTCCCCAATATGTTTACTTTCTAAGGTAAATGATATAGCTTGGTTATGGCATGCTCGCTATGGTCATTTGAATTTTCGATCTTTACGAAACTTAGCACAGGGAGGTTTGGTGGAGGGGATTCCAGTGATTGATCATGTTGATCAATTCTGTGATGGGTGTGCACTGGGAAAGCAGCACCGCAAATCATTCCCACAAACTTCGACATATCGTGCAAGGAGA